ATAATTACTGGAGGAGTCATCCAGACCTTGTGATAATGGCCAAGGGACTCATCTAGGCCTTGTGATAATGACCGGGGCTGGGTCATCCAGACCTTGTGATCATGGCTGGGGGCCTCATCCAGACCTTGTCATAATAGGAGGGCCGGGCCCCTTTCCTAGAGAGGAAATAATAGCTGATTCACCTTCAAACAGATACCATGTATTTTTTTTCTAGACCCAGATGCCAGATGGTGACAGGCACCTAATAGCCTCATCCCAACTTCTTCAGGTTTTTCTTCTCAGTTTCTTTACGTTTACGTTTCCCTTTTCTTTCGTTAAAAAACTGACGATTTAGAGCTGACTCACAGGAACTTTTTTTTTACTTTCTGCACGTCAGAAATTACAGGAGTTTGAAGAAGCCAGCGGAATCGAATTCACCCACATTCGCTTGTTAGCGCGTGCCTTTACTCACGCACAAGTTGGCTTTAATAACCTCACGCTGTAAGTACAACTGATTGCTATTTGCTGTAGTAGTTGATGCCATTGCCCAAGGTTACCTGTAAGTGGTACCTTTCTCTATCATAGTCGCGATCTTCTTCTAATGAAGAGGAAATCTGCAAATTTACACATAACATTATCAAGAGTTGCGAGCTGGCAAATGCCTTAATTTACTTGAGGTTCCTTGAAGTACCAGGAATCACGTTATTTCCATTCAAAATTGAGTTGTTACTCAGTAGTGTCTGAAAAACAGAAGGCTTGAATTCCACCTAGTCCTTTAGACCAGCAGTTCGCACATTTTGTTCGCCCAGCTAGTGACATGTTTCTCTTGGTTTAAGATATGGTTTGAAAACGACTTGCCCGGACACTAATACTTGCTCGGAGGGAAAATCTACTTGTTCAGGACGATCGGACGGGACGCGTTTATTGCATGAGTTCTGTGTAAATTATCAGAGAGCTATAGTATCTGTTTGTCTGGAAGGAGCGTTGCTTGTCGAATCAGACAGATACTGCTGCGTAGAAAACTTCCATCTGTTTTGTGGCTGAGTTTTGATGCCTTTCTCGTTACCTGAGACACACAGCATTTTTCGTCCATTGTTAGGTTAACTCTTTAAAAGGAGTGGTTACCAAACATATTAAATTATGTTCTCTTTATACTTTTTTTAGCGGGAGTAACCAACGAATGGAATTTTTGGGAGACTCCGTTCTGCAATTCGTTGTGTCTGTATATCTCTTCAGGCATTTTCCAGACCACCACGAGGGGCATCTAACGGTATAGATTACTGTTGTTACAATTTCTTACAAGTTGAAACTAAAGAATTCAAATTTTGTTTCGTAAAATCCTTAGAAATATATAAATGATACATATTTTGTACCTTGCGTAATCACGTGAGTGATCATGCAGTGAAATCACTTCCCCACTCCCCTTCCCAATCGAACACACTTTGAATTTCAAATCACCACAAATAAAATAAATAGACCTTAGCTTTGAACTAGCATTTCAGAAGTGACAATACTGTACTTTTTATTCTACACAGAGTAGCGTAAGTTAATGTAAAATTATTCGAAGACAAACTGGAAAGTACCTGATATGTTGTACACAAGTTATACCACCGATATCAATTAAGAAGTGATTAGCGATAGTTATCGATTTATCGATTGGTTTTCCGATATCGGTTTTTATTGATTGGACACTTTCTACTCTTTTTTGACAGCTTCTGCGCAGCTCTCTTGTAAATCATCGAATCCAAGCGAAGCTCGCTCGAGAACTGGGACTAGATAAACTGATCAATTTTGGATCCAAGGTATGTATCACGTGCAAGGCACGTGACCTTTGTCTCTTACTCGATTTGTTGACCACACATTGTTCTTCAGGGGAGTCTCCCGTAATATAAGGGGTATGAATAGTCCTCGAAAAAATTACAAAGAACTTTATAGGAAAATATCGTAGTCTTGTTTTTTTTTAAGCGTGGGTGAAAGTCATTAGTTCTGTTAAACGGTTAATACAACAAGAACAAAAATGATGCCTTTTGATGGAACTAATAATTCAATTTTAATTTCCCAATGCGTCGACTTAAGATTTGTTCGTAAGTTCTTAATGTATGCCAGATTTTGTTTGTAAACTATTGTTCTCATGTTTGTGGTACATTTGCAGGCAGGAATGAAGGCTTTCCGCGAGAAAATTCTCGCTGACACACTGGAAGGTAAGTTAAGTGGGTTTTTTTATTGCCTTTTAAAGACGGTATTATGTTATTTAATTTTTATCTTATTTTCTCTCCTAAAGCTTTTGTGGCCGCCTTGTACGTCGACAAAGGCCTTAGACATGTGGAGGTATTTTGTCGCGTCTGTCTCTTCCCTCGCCTTGAGGTAAAAACAACTTTTGATAATTTGATTCCTGCATTCCTTCCAACTCAGTCATCCACTAGTCATCTACACAGCTGGTTTTTGTGTGTGTCGTAACGCAACGCTCCTTCGTACAGGAGGAGCGTTGCGTGACGACACGAAAAGACTACTTATCCACGGGTCCTTCTACGTTGTCGTTGGTGTCTCTTTTGTTCGTCTTGTTCTCCAACCTCGTTCCCAGGGCTTTTGGTTGTTCTCGACACGATTAGCAAAAATTCGTTAATTGCTACGGCAACTTAAATGTATTAACAGGTGGCCCAAAATAACTTTTGATGGGGTTTCAAGAGGTTGCTTGAGACTCCACGACTTTACTCTCAACCTCGTCCTTGGGTTCTTCTCGTTCTTCAATATGGCGGTGGCAGTTCTCTCTACATAGCATTAAATAGAATGGCTCCAAGCCCTTTTGAAGTTATCCGCTGACCAATCCACATCCGATACATGCAAGCTTAATCCACCCTCGTCTTCTAGCGTGGCCTTCATTTACCTTCATCCACCTTCATGTACCTTCATTTACCTTCATCCACCTTCACCAGGCTCAAAATTCACCGTCATACCTCTTTTATTGGGCAGAAGAACATATCGACATTCTAGTCCTATCATGTCACATGAACCTAGTTTAGTGGCCTTTAGTTCCCACGAGCTGAGGCTCACTTGACGTAGTGGTAGAGGATCTGTTGAGTAACCAGAAGGTCATAGGTCAGATAGGTGGGGAGTACTCGGATATTTTTCTTCCGAGCCGTCTGTGTCACTAAATGAAAAGTCATCCTTCTCAAGTATTCACCAGGCCCAAACTTCATCATCACATCTCTATCATTAAAGTCATTGTTGTTGTGTTGGTGTTTTTACCCATAGGAGTTCATTATTAACCAGGACTGGATGGACGCGAAGTCGCAATTACAGCAGTGTTGTCTAACTTCCCGTGAGCAGGGAAAGGCACCAGATCTTCCACAATACAAGTGAGTTCAAAATCAAACTGCTCCAGTGATTCGTCTCCCTTCTAGTGTCGAACTCCTGGGACAGGTTGACACTTGGTGTCAATTGGTATCTCCTGAAGATTGTTGGACACATGTTTTTCATGTTATTAATGTAACGCAATTATGATATCTCTGTAGGGTTCTACAAAATAAAGGTCCTGCCCACCACAAGTACTATGCAGGTAAAGTATGGCTCAGAGTGGTCTGGGTATCAGAGCTTTTTCTCGCGCTTATATTAGTGAGAAACGCGTGTCACGATAAAGACTTGACTGAAAGCGGAGACAGCGTATGAAAAGTCACTGAAACCCAGGGTAGGCTCATTAATAGCTGAAGCGGTGAATAGGCTATTGCCGAGTTCAAAATGTCCTTGTTTCAAAAATAAGACCAAATGCGAAATCATTAATGTGAAAAGGAGTTATATTTGTACGAGAATTAAGACTAATTTATTTCATATATCAAAGCCTTTGCCGGCGTCGACCTCGTTTCGACAAAGAGGAAATGGCAAGTCTCTTATTTATTACGACAGAAATTTAAAGAAGCTAAATGGCCTTTGTGACCTGTATTTATGCCGGACTAAATTTAAAACGTTCCTTGCTGTAACTGGGCCTTCATTTTTAAAATTGCTCTTTCTCTGGTGTCACCCACCTCATGTTTTTAGTGTGTCTTATTCTATTCTCTTTCTCTAACAGTTGCTGTTTATTACAAGGACACAAGATTGGGCTCTGGCGAAGGAAATAGGTGAGCGTCATGGTCGCGCAGAGCGGCGCTAGCCTGTGGCACATACGGAACTGGGCCCCCACCGGTGTCGCAGGATTTAAGTACACGCCGTGATTGGCCTGTTAAAAAAGCCATTGTCGATTTGCCAATAACAGTGAAAGGAAATTCGAAACGCACTTCCGGTAGTTTGTTGAGTCTGTTCGGGACCCAGAACAAGGATTTCGGTACTGCTTCGCAGACGTTACTAACCGAGTTTAAAATTACGTCTGCGAGGTAGCTGGCTACGCAGCGGATGCCCGCCATGAAAAGAGGTTCTCCCCATAGAAATAGTCAGAGACTGAAGTTGTCGATAATTTTTACCGTCTTCAAACTCAAGTATCCTTCATTTTCTTCCTGCAGCATCCAACAAGCAGAAATGGCAGCAGCCAAAGACGCGCTGGCCTCTCGTAAGTGATACAATTTTTTTAGCAGCAAAGAAGTGTCCGTCGTTTACCTTACGGAATCCAGTACAGGAAATCCGGATCCACAGAGTGATATCCATGGATTACCTTACTTGGGGAAACCCTAGCCTGCGTAGCATGGCGGTTTTGTCGACTGAGCGGCGAAGCCACGAGAAACATAAAAACCGCGTGCCCGGATTGGTGGCCTTTTCAACTGCCACCCCCTTCAACTCAATCTCAATCGTGGTTTCTCTGCCCTCGCCTGCCTTTATTACTTTGTGCGCCCAACCAAAACAGCCATGCTACGAAGGCTAGGGAAACCCTAGCCAAACTTGTGATAACTAGTTTTGTCTCCCATACAAAGTAGGCTTGTCGTCATCAATTGCTCTTTGAACATCGTTTATTTAGCGAGGGGACACACCGTGCAAAAAATGGCTCGTAACCAAGTTTTTTCCAATCATCAAATTGTAGACAAAATGAATCGAGCTAAATTTGCTTTTTAGGCTTTCAATATCGAACCAATCCTGCATAGGTTATCTTAAAACAGCTATGAACAACTCGGTCAGATTTGTCCGCAAGTTAGCTTTTTGGAGACCTACACAGAAGAGTAACTCGAGTCTCAGTTTGGTTAGACTAGAAGCAGTCGTTTTCTATAAAATCTGTGTAACAAAGCAAAAAAGCGAGCGCGATATGCGAGCCGCGAGTTGGGCGAACGCCAGCACGAGAGAAAAGAGACTTCCTTTCTTGCTTACACCCCGGAGGATTTTTTCCATAAATTACTATACGGGGAGGCCCCGCTCGAAAGGGGTGCCTTTTTCAGGCTCAGGTGTGTAAATGGTCAGGGATTTCACGAATTGAAGTATATGAACGGATCTGTCATTTAGGTATTTAAAGAGCCTTTTGTTAAAATATTTTGAAAAGGTTCACCTCATGCCCATATCCTTTTAGTTTAATTATTTCTTCCGTAGTATCCTTCATTAGGAAGCTTAAGCATCAACGATGGCGACCGCTACGAAAAGGTCACTCAAAAAGTGAATTCGCGCTGCTTCAAACTTTATCGCGCCCATTCCATCTCGTTTAATTCGTCAAATGTTGGCAAAAATTTTTTTGGAGTTAGAGTCTAAAGGACTGTATTTCAAAGTTCAAGAAAAGGAAAAGGGAGGTTTTGTCTTGTGTTCCCGTCCTCGACGAAACGTTAAATTAGGCACTTTCACGTTGTAGTCGTGCAACGACGGCATAGAAATGTACAAAAAAAGCGTGATGCACGTGCAAAGTTGTTGTTTTGCTAATCTAAACCTATTGCTTTTTTTTCGTTCTTGTTGCTTGAGGGGAACCATTTGGAAATGGAAAGTATAGGGAAGGGTTACTTTTTTTGTCGAAAAGGGCATTTTTTAAAAAAATAAGGGATTGGACATCGGGTCTGCGCCTCTCCGTACGAAACTTTCTTGAGCCCCCCCGCCCCTCTCCATCGGGGTTTATGTTACGTCTGACTGAAGTTCTCTGTTTCTGTACAGACTATTTCCCAGAACTAGCGCGACAAAAGCGTCTGTTAGACCGAAAACACCAGGACCGACGACGAAACTATTGGAACAAAGTGCCGCGCCGAGAGAGGGAGAAGGACGAGCAGGACAAAGACACGGAAATTCAACCTCGGTGGGAGGAGATGGAAACTTTTGAGGTGCAAGAGCGAAGGAATGCAGGAGAAAAGGAAAACATGGATGTTGACCAGGAAAGAGAAAATTGGGAAATGGAAAATGAGAGCACCGGTCAGGAAAGGGAAAACTGGGAAATGGAAAATGAGAGCACCGGTCAGGAAAGAGAAAACTGGGAAATGGAAGATGTGAACCTTCAGGGAAAAGAAACCTGGGAGAAGAACGACGGGAATGGCTGTGGAACAACAGAAAATCGGGAAACGGAATGTAGCGATCACACGTTGAGATGGGATTTGTGCGATCCAAGAACGAACTTAGAGGAAGAACCAAAGGGCACAACGGAAGAGTGGGAAAGGGAAGGTGGAGATATTTTGGAAAGATGGGACGGAAGCGGAGGCCAAAATGTGGCGAGAGAGAACTTGGGAGATGAAAACGTTGATTCAAAAGTAAATTTGGAAGAGGAAGGTAGAAATAGGATGGATGACTGGACAGAGAACTGGGAGGTCGAAAATGCCGTTTCAAAAGAAAACTGGGAAGAAACGGACGGCGGAGAAAGAACTGAGAATTGGGAAGAAGCTGGAATCGAAAGGTCGAAGGAACGATGCGTTAAAGATGGAACTATTGAACATAACGTGATAAACAGTATGAAGGAGAAGGCCAAAAATGGGCACGGCGAGACAAAGGAACTCTGGGAAGTTGATTAATTGTATTTGATTCGTAACGTTACTTAGGGAGTGCTGCGTGACGGTTGATGTTAAAATTGAACTGAGTGTCGTTTGCAGTCATTTCTGTAGTGCCATTATGGCGTGACAGGTTGAAGAGGGTGTCGAGTTTTGCCCTCCAGAGAAAACTAGCATTCGTCGTCGTTAATTTTTTATTCTTGAATCAAAAAGTCAAAAAGACTTTAAAAATAAGAATGAGAGAAATTAAGAATTTATGATTTGTAGTCATTTTAGTGGTTTGCAGTTCGGCATCATTTTTTATGTCATATTTCATCCGTACGCTCCTCTCCTTCCTCAGGTATTTATTTATGAACACATCGTGAATCCATCGAAAATGTTAATTAAACTGTACAGTTTCAGGAAATAAATCAGGAAACCTTTTTTATTGATGTCGTTGTTGGCTTGATTACCAGTTCTTGTATTAGCTAAGTATCGATCATTATCTGAGTTGTGACGTAACTGTTCAAAGAACGGGAAAAGCGGAAAATCCCATTCCCAAATGAAAGTTTGTTGAAGTCGAAGTTCCTAGCCCAAATATCAGTTCGAATCACTTTTCCATCGGTAAAATAATAATAAAAAATACACATAATAACAAAACGAAAACGGAAATGCAATTTGTTTCTCAGTTCATAATCCATAGTAGGCTCTTTGCAGCTAGCCATTCACGTGGTACAAAACCGCCTTGCTGGAGACTGACAAAAGTCGCGCTGGGACTGTATGCCTTTCGTTTGTCTTGTCTCAGTGCGACTTTGCTCTCCAGCACGGCGGTTTTGTACCACGTGAATTGCTAGCTGCAAAGGGCCTACTTTTTGGGAGTAAAGCACCAAGTCGATGGGAAATTTAAAAAATTGAGTGTTTATCCACAACATCGCCGGAAGAAACACTTGGCAATGAGCGTCCCCCGAATAATAGGTTATACGACAGAAGACGTAAAACAAAACTACAAAAACCAAAGCAAATCAATAGAAGAGTGCAAGGATTGTACCCAGGCCATTTTTCACGAATTCCTACGCAATGTGTATCTCCAGGGTTTAAAAACTTGCTTTTATAATCTCCTTCCTTCTGAAAATCTGGATTTTGGGGCAAATTATTTTAGTCACGATGGTTTGATTGTGGTCCATTATTTTTCCATCAAATACTTCGAATGGGTAATTTTCAAACAAGCAGCAAATCTCATTTTTGATCATTTCTCGAAATCCAGCGCCGGCTCGACGTCCACGGGGGTGGGTACGTGTTCTACCAAAATATCGAAATGCATTATGGGGTGTTAGGCTTCAGGGAAAATATGGCGGACGATGTGCAGGTTTTCGATGGTTCCTGATCAAGAACAACTGTTTACTGCCTGAAAACAGCGAAAAGTTATCCTCTTGCTATTCTTGAATCGTGGGGGAAAAAGTTCTGTTTTTTAGCTGCTCAAATTTTTCTTCAAACTGGCCACTGCCTTTATTTAAAACTGATCTATTCTGGAAGTTCTAATATCAAATCGATAGCTTGTATCATATGCCGGAACAATGTGAAGAACACGAGAAGGCACCGCTTTGTTTGATGAACGTTTGGAGGAATTTGTTTGCAATAGAATACTGGATAATACCGTTTCTTTACTAAAGGAGATAATCAGCTGTTTGGATCACGCAAGAGAACAAGGTGCTCTTTGCAATTTCTGTTCTGTTGATCCGGACAGCGACCACGTCGATACATGCCCTACAAAGGTTCCTCTCTGGAGGTGTTCAGTTCGTGGTTCAAGTTCACAAGAAAATGCCGCCTTGTCCTCATTTGAATTCTCTCGAAGATATTAACGTGGAGGAGATCAAGAGGAAAATGACTGATGCACATGTAAGTTGATTAATTTTATGCTTAGTCATTTTGACAATGGAACATCATCAATTGATTAAAACCACTTCTATCCATTCGCTGTAAATTCGCTGTATGGTGAAAAAAAATTAACAAAATAATGATAATGCCTTGGCTAATTCCTCTGTCATGGATACATTTGTAAGTGATTGTTTTGATTTAATTATTTTGTTAGTTACAAAAGCCTACGCTATTTGTCAGTTTTAAGGTAATTAAAAATATTGTCAGTGTTTGCAGGGTTTTCTTATATCTGCCTACAAAGTAGACTTAATTTGTTATAGACATATGTTGCTTGCTACAGGCGAACACAGCTGGGTTTCATAATTTGTAGTTGTAGTACATGTAAAGCAAGATTTTCTTTCAAAGATACAGAAGTGTGTGTATATAAAATTGAAAATATAAATATTTTAATGCATTTATGTTTGTTTGAAAGATCAGGAAGGCACACTCAGTGTTTTTAAGGCATTGCCAACGATTAATTTGTTCTTGTAATTTGCATTGGTCTTTTCTAAAGATCGAGAGACAATAGTTTATATGTGAGGTTTGTAGTAGCTTTACAGCAAACATTCACAGGCACGTTGCAGCCTGGTTAATGATTTATATTGTTTATGCCATATATATTTTTATTGAATGTACCATGTTGCACATCAAGCAATAATATTATTTTTCCAAACCAGATAAGAATCACCATGCACTAAAGTATAGACCTTGTCACAGTTTTCGACACCTTCTTGACGAGTAGGCAAACGTGTGAGAAATTGCAGCGTTTGTACGAGAATCTAATGTTGAATAATTTCCGCATAACGGCTTTTCTGAAAAAAATATGACTTGTAAACTAAAGGTACAAAGCAAAGGATTGTCCTAAACAATTTTGGGGGCCTACCTGTGCTTAAATTTCTCCAGAGGCTTGCTTTAGATTTTCCATACATCTGTCTGTAATTTTCCCGGGACTTACTTACAGACAAATGTATAGAAAATTTTAAAAAGTGGTTCTAGGTCTTTTAGTGCATTTAACCCTCTTAATTTTTTTCAGTAAAATCCTTAGGAGCAAAGCTTTAGTTTACAAATCATATTTTTTTCAGAAGAGTCGTTTTACGGAAATTATTCAACATTAGATTCTCATACAAACACTGTAATTTCTCACGCGTTTGCCTACTCGTCAAGATGGCGTCGAAAACCATGATAAGGTCTATTTGCCATGGATTGATAATTATTCGTAAGTCACAAACTACACCTGTTCTCATCGAAAACATTTTTTTGAAGCTTAGATATAGTTGAATTTATTCTTTTTGTGCTTACCATTCAGAAAATCCTTACTTATGAATTACTTCTTTTAATGGACAAATTTATTTCATATGTCACTTCAAACTGAAATGAGACAGGATACTTTGATGTATTTTAACTCTTTCATTTGTATTGCAAGTTATGACAGGGTGATTTGTGGCTTTAATTTTGAAATGCGGGGATGTTCCATGTTGTTACCGTTCAAATGAAACCACTTTGGAAGAAATGTTGTGTGGTACTAATCTTAGATTTTACACAAAGAAAATTGAATTTTCACCCTATTTTGCCATATTGTTATATAAAAAAAATTATGCTCCTCTCTCATGAGAACAGAGATGGCATAATGGTGAAAGCGCTTCCCTCCTAACATAACATAACATAACATAAAACTTTATTTATACTCGAATTTTAGAGTAGCTGACAAGCTAATATCTTCGAGCTGACACTACATAAAAACTATATAGAAAATATATATATACATTAAATGCAAGGAGAGAAAATATCATTTACAATTCACAATTTTAAGTTCCTGCTAGTAATAAGTTAATTGCCTATGGCATCAGCATCGTATTATATGTCATGTGGGTTTAGTTGTTTGTTCTTATTCTTGCTCTGAGATATATTTCTCTGGATACTCCTGTCACCGTCTCTCCTAAAAAATCAACACTTGCAAATTCCAATTCAATCTATGATACTAGAAGACATTCAAAGTTGTTGAGTTCTTATCAGCTCATGTTTCTTAGGTAAATGAATACGTTTCGTAAGCTGAATTCCTTTTTAATGGCTGGTATCTAGTTTTGGTCAAGGTAACAGTGAAATTTTGGTTTTCACTAGGCAAATGAATAAGATAAAAAACTTAAATGAATTTAAAAACAAGGAATCTGTTTCTCATTCTCAAACTCATTAATAATTCATTAAGAAAACAAAGATTTAATGTTTAATGCAAATGTTTGGAAAAGATGAAAAAGATTTACTATTTCTCCTTCCAAAAATTTTGAATATCAAGAGAAAACATCACCAGATGAATCTGTACTTCAAAAAACATTCAACAGTATCTGTTGTTTCATCTGGTGATGAAACACTGCAATAGTTTGTTCTTTACAACAAATGGTATCTGTTCTACAATCTTTGATGGCAATAGGTTCTTTACAACAAATGGCTTGTCATGGTAACCAGGCCTGTGGCCAATTTCTTGAAGGTTTCAATAATTACTAGGCTCAGAAAGTACTTTATGTTTGCCATGTTTACTGTCAAGATTGAGACTTAAATAGTTTTGAAAATGATACAATAAAAATTATCAGATAAAAAGACATTAATACACTGGTTAGGGGGCTATGGTAGAACTGACCCATCTTTGGGCTTGTAAAGTTACTGCAACTTTCAAAAAATGGGCCCCAGATCTTATTCATATTGGTCTTGTTACCTGGTACATTACACTCAAACGTCTGCTAGGGGACACCCACTAATTCATGGTCTTAGCAACATACAAATCATACATTTTTAACTTCCTCTTTCAAGTGGACCTTTTCTCTTGTCCCAAAGGTGCTTTCTGAGGGGTCAGGAGGTTCAACTCAGCTGGCAGTGTGTAATGATATTTAAACCTTACGACTGTTTTCTTACACTTGTTTGCAAATGGAGGAATCTCTGAAGCAGCTCACTTCAAATCTGCAATTTATTAACATCGTATACACACCAGTCAACCAAAAAATTAATAATATTATTGGTTTGTTTGCCAGGGGCACTGTGATCAATGTGAGAAGTCGGGATCAGACCTTTGGATTTGTTTAAAGGTGAGTGACTAACTGCTACATACAGTGGAATTTATTTGAGCCTAAAAATTCCTTCAAAATTCCTTTCACCATCCAAACACTGTAAACTTCTGATTTTTCATTTGAATTTCCATGTTTCTTGTAGGTTTGAAATATTGTGAATCCACCTTGGTTTAGTTGATTTTCCTCCAATGTGTCTTGTGAGAATTTTATGTGCATAATTGGTGCTTTAAGCCTATCACAGTAGTAGAGCTCTCATGAGTTTCAAAGTTGCTGAGGGAAGAAAAATATATTTAATATTATGTTCTCTCAGGAGAAATTTTTGTATACCAGTATGTCTTTTCTGTTAACAGAGGTGTCAGTAAAGAATATTGGCAGTTGGTAAATTTTGTCAGTTACACCCCTAATCATTACCAATCACTTCGTTGTGTTTTAATGTAATGCTTACTGGAAATATCTCATCCCTGCCTGCAACTGTCCATGTACTTTGGCTAGCTCAGACATCTTCAAAAGTTATTGAAACCCAAGTGTTCTTATTTTTTTTTCTTTCAGAAGTGTTGCTCATTTGTAGGGTGTGGAAGATTTGGGAATAATCACATTGAGCTTCACAGTCAGGTATACTGTCTTAGGTTGTTCCCTTTTAGATGTCTTTACTGCAACAATTAAAAAAAAGACTTTTAGTGTTATCGCTTATTTGCATTGGTGTTATCAAATTTCAAAATAAAAAAATGATCATTCTTTGTGTGGTTTTAGTTGTATACTTCCTTTTAGAGTCATTTTCAATTAACAGAGAACTTTGGAATATCCACACATTTGCATCATGTCAGATTAAGATTACTGAGCGTAGTTTCAAGTTTTCAATATAATATTATGAATGGTTCTCATGTTGTAATAAGTATAATAATTTTATATGGGTTGAGCATAGGCTAAAGGCAAAGCTTCCGTTGATAAATTTATAATTTACTTCAAACAATAAACTTGTAACCATTGACAGAAATACGCTTGGAGTCGAGCCTGCCATCAGTTGAAAAACTAGTAACTTGTCAGCTGGTAACTTCAAAAAAACACATAACCTCTATGTGTTGACGCCTGAGCCCATGAAACGGTTGTGTGATACTGGTCAGGAGATACACTGCTTGACAGCTGTCATTTGACCACAACATGAATGTGCAATATCAGGTTGCAGGCTCCCACACTAGCTTGAAAGTGTGAGATTTCACATTGGTTTCCCTGTGGTGTGGACAGATGGACAGTCGAACTGATTCACGGTCATGCAACTACCAAAATTTCTTGGATGGATAGATAACCAAATTTTCTTAGCTATGGGGCTCTGCAAGCGCATGCTTTGCTCTGTTAAAATGTTATTGACTCCTGGATGATGGCTATTTGCTTTCATAAGAAACTGAGTAATTTGTCTGAGTATGTCATATGAAAAAGATGGGCATTCTTATATCTTGGCAAGACTGTTACAATGCAGTTTTTGCAGAAACAATGTATAGTCTAACAGATTCTTGATTATAAGTGATTTCAATTTGCACTTTTGATGGTGTGACAGTGAATACAGGCACTGGATGTGGTGTCTATTCTCAGTAACACTATAACAGTAACACAGAAACTATATCTTTTTGAAGATGGATAAAATATTTTAGTGAAATCAGTCTTTTTACTAACATATCATGATAATTCTCAGTTTGACTATTTCTCTTGGATAATGCAAAAAAAATAATGATAGTTTTCTACTAAAATAACCTCATGTAACATACATGTAGTATTATTTTGATAAGAAATTTCATTTGTCATAATAATTATTTCTTTTTTTTTTTTCAGGAATCAAAGCATCACTTGTGCTTACGTCTTCAAGATTTCAGCATGTGGTGTTTTAGCTGCCATTCTGAGGTGCAGCCAACTGATGGATCATCAGGCTCAGCCAACAGTGAAACCACTAGTTCTCCAAGGCCAAAGGTACATTTAACATCTTCTACTTAACAGTTAGGGGGTGCACCCGAAATTTCTGTCATCTGAGATAGATGATGGGGGATTGAATCACTTGATAAAATAAAACATCAATAGTCAATTATAGAAAAAAAAAATTGAGAATTTTAACATTTAACTTTGGTCGATGGATTATTATATGAGTGCTTTTGTCAAGCAAGACATTATCTTTCTGTCTGTGATTGTTTTCATGATGTTAATATTGTTCCCTAGGCTCATGAAGTCCTTGACATTGAAGATGCTCTTGAATTAGAAAAAGGTTTAAAACCAAGAGGTGAGATAGTAAAATAATATTTTATTCAATCGTATCATGAACATTAACCCCATAAGCCCAACATCTGCATACAAATTCTCCAAACTGACCTCTATACATTTCCTTACTGAATTAGCTGGGAGGATTTGAAAAACTATCGAAGCATTTTTCCTTTAGTGATTGTATTAGTAATTCTCATAACTTTTTCTTTTGATTGAGTATCGGTTATAATGTTAGGAGAAAATTGATGTTTGTCACTCTTGGCATTTAAAGGGTTAAAATAAAGGATCCACTAGAAATAACCTCTCAAAATGTCAAGAATAAAGGCTCTTGCATTTTGTTTAAGATCATGATATAAGTAACTATGTCATAGTTCAGACCGGGAAAAATAATAAAAAAAATGATCACATGCCCTGCACCTCAGGTCTTGAGCCAGTAGTTTATGGAACTAAGATCATAAACATTTTTTTTTTCCAAAAGCTGCACATTTACGGTACACACAGAATGATGTTCATCTGGCTTAAACATTGTAGAGTCCATTATAGTAGCTAATACAGGCACTGTATTAACAAAATAAATTTTATTTTAGGATTGTGTGGCTTAGCAAACATTGGAAATACATGTTACATGAATGCTGCCCTGCAGGCTCTGTCAAACTGGTAACTATATCATCTTAGAAAACTCTACCATGAATTTTTTCACTTTTGGATTGATGGCCTGAGAGTAACGATAACCAAAAAGATATGAAAAATAAGTATGGCATTTTTTTTGTTACATCTATGAAAAATTTTTATTAAGGCTGAGTGTAAAAGAACACAAGCAAGTATTGCACTGTTATGTGCTCTGCTAAATTAACTTATCTCCCAAATTAGGAGCTATAAAGGACTTAATTAATAGAATCATGTTGTCTTGTATTGAGCCCAAATTCTTGTATCGGACGTGTCATGCCTGTCAGATTGACAAGATGATGTGCTCACTGACAAGCAGACAAGCTGTCATGGTGACAGGTTGCTGTAAAGCTAAGACCTGGGGTTTCATTGAGGTTTTGAACAGGAGAGCAACTGGGTTTGACATCGAGGCAAAGAATTGGCAAGGCCCTTGTGCCCCTAGGGGAGTCAGGGGGCTGAAATTCTATAGGGCTGAGATGGGTTTTCCTGCATTCTGAAGGTACAGACAATGTCTTTCAACCACCAAAATTATGAATTGCAAGCTGGTATTGATTTGGTAAAGTCTTAAGACATGGACACTTATAATAATTATTGAAAATCTCCCTAAATACTATTAATTTGATAGTCAAACAGCTTATTGTCAGTGTTCTATACAGCAAGTATTTTGCTGACGCCCTGCTGACAGCTTTACTATTGTACTTTAATTTCAGTCCACCCCTTACACAGTATTTCTTGGAATGTGGCAGTTTTGCAAAAGAAACCAAGAACACTGCTGTCTCTAGAAACTATTTGTCTTTAATCAATGAATTATGGTCTAGGAAAAGGTGTAGTATGAATTTGTTGTTGTTTTTTTCACCCCTATTCTCAATGGATTGACTGTGTGATCAGGGCTGTGATAGGGAGTTCAAGCAATGATGACGGCAACGTCAATGAAGAAAACGGCAAAAAAAACAATAGGTTAAGATTAGCAAAACAATGACTCTACATGTGCGTCACATATTTTTGTACACTTTTTTGCCATCGACTAAGATGTGAAAATGCCTAATTTCACGTTTGTGGAGGACATGAACGCAAGACCATGACCTTCTTTTCCTTTTCCTGAACTTCGATACAGTCTTAGAGTTCAACTCGAGAAAAAATTGCCAACATTTGATGAACTGAACGAGATGGAATAAGCGCAATAAGGTTTGAAGCAGTGAGACTTCACTGTTTAAGTGACATTTTCATCGTTGTCGCCATCATTGTTACATAAGCTCCCTGTTAAGGGCTGATGGGGAGTGGGGGGGTGGAGATTTCCCCCAGCTACTATGAATGTGACCCATAGCTACTTTCATAGGCAAACAGAATCAAAATACAACCAAACGAAATCCCCAACTGTTTGATTCCCTGCCTACTCGATGTATTTACCTGGCAACTTATAATCTTAGTGGTATGATTCCCTGCTGCATTGGTAAATTTTCCAAAATCCAAAAGGTTTTTCATCTGAATGAAGTCAAATAATTTAGCCTTCAAAAGTTGGTCTGCTCTGCCACATACATGTTCCATAACCATGCATATAACTCTTTTTTTTGTTGTTTCCAGACCAAAGTATGTTGTACCTTCTCAGCTGCTGCGTAGTGTAAGACTTGTCAACCCACAGTTCAGAGGTTACGGGCAACAGGTGCGTCAGTTGATTTTCAGATAATAATTTTATGCCCTAATTTATCTTTCACACTGGTTACAAGTTTACAGTGTACAAAATGTTTCCAGGAAATTGGGTTGGGAAGTAAATAGATTGATAATTCTTAATGTGATTGTTGCTGTAAAGCCCCTTTGGAGAGGAGACAGTAAGTTTTTATGTAATGGAGCATTTCTCATTTTTGGAAGTCCTTTTTTCCCAGTTCAATGAACTCCAAAAAGAAGTTTGTGTCCCTTTGTTTTCTTCATTGTTACCTTCGGTGTACAGTTTGAGACATTTGTGGCCATATTTTGGGAATGGGAGTGTTTTGTGCAAAATGGTAAAGCGTGTTTCATGCTCAAAGGCAAAAGTGTGTTGCCAGGAGCAGCCTGGTGCCTCTGGAGCACAGCCCTTGAAACATCATATCCTTATCGTAACAAACATGAAACACGTAAATATCAATAATTGTTAACAATAATAAATATCATTTTTCATTTGCTTATCACTTCATCTCATCACTGTGCTCATTTAGAACAACTGTTAAACAATTTTGAGCTGAGAATTAATGTTTTATAATTAATTTTTTGCGTTACCATTAATATTATTTTAGGATGCTCAGGAGTTTCTACGTTGTATTATGGATCAGTTACACGAGGAGCTGAAGCAGCCTCTGCCACCTCTTGCAGAAGACTCAGCGTCATCAGAGAGTGATGATGATGAACCAAACCATCACAATAAGAGACTGCTAGGAGGAACAAGTTTGTCATATGATGAGAATGTACACAAAGGTATTGTCTTTCAGTTGAACCCTTGTTAATGGATTTCTCCTGTTCATGGACACCTCATTTCAGTGAGCATTTACTTAACCCTTTAACCCTTTAAGCCCTAAGAGTGATCAGCATCAAATTTCTCCTTGTAATATCAATGCTTTGTAAACCAGAGTGGTCATGAGAATTACGGACATGATCACACAAGATGAATTTGCTTGATTTTTATTAACTTCTCCCCACTACTTCTTTAGAAAATTAATAGTGGCAACAAATAAGTATTCAGACAAATTCAAAAGGGTTAAGTACAAAGAGTGACCAACATCAATTTTCACTTTCTTGTCCCAAGGGTTTCTGCTTACAGGGCGCTAAGCTGTTACCCTCTATCAGGGCTGCACTCTAGCAGAGCCCGGTGGCCTGTGGTGCCTAACTTTTGCTCTCAGATGACTAGAAAATCTTAGTTTTTTCATACGAGTCATATGCTGGGCACCCCAGATTTTACAGGTTCAGAGCATAGGGCCATTTCAATTTTTCTTAGAGCACAGCCTTACTCTGTATTGTCAATACAAATCAGTGTTCAGGGTGTTCATTAGGCAGCAGAGATCAGAGAATTTCCCGTTAACTATGCAGAATTCTCTAGCAAATAATTCGATAGCCTATGACTATTTTTTATTCAGATGTGAAGCCCCTTTCAAATATTATTCTCCTGTATTGTTTTGCCTTCCTCCTGCTACTTGAATTCTCAGTGAAAACCCTGAGTGTTATTATTATATTTGTCACAAAACAACTGGCATAGTCTTCTAGAAATTTTAATAAGAAAAATTTTCTTATTATTTATTTAATAAATGTTTCTCACGTGTAGGGTAATTTATAGTATCGATATTTTATTTTATTTTAATTTAACAACCTCAATTCAACTTGATTTTCGTTGTCTTGGTAGATGATGATGTAGAGATGTACTCTGACAGTGGAGAAGACACTGCGGATGATAAACCACTTCATACAAATAATTATTCAACCAAAGAACAAGCTTGCCAAGAAGAGCCTCACAAAACAAGCAATGCCAAACAAATGAAAACAAGTCATGATGCTGTTAATCTGAGTGATATAACAGTGTCAGTTGAAGATGAGCGCATGAGTGAAGGTGAAAGTGAGCAGGTTGATGAGGATATGGATGCTGATGACAGTGCATTGTTGAAGGAAGAGAAGCCTGTTGAACAAGGCAAAAAGGAGAAGCTAAAGCCCACTTCCCACTCTCAGACTTGCCAAGCTGAACAACCCAGAAAGAAGCCAAGAAAACAGACAAGTAAATATATTAAAAATATTATTATTTATATACACATATGTATTATATGTATTTAGATATAATTCATCCAAGATAGCAGATTTGAAAATCCTCACTAGGAGGAAACAAACTGGGTAGCTATTTATATTTGACATGATAATTAATCATAAGTGATGATAGTCCTTTACAAAAATGTGATTTGCTGCGCCGTCCCTTCGCAAAAACTACTAAATATCAAGGTAGCTTCAGAATAAACTGTGCTCGGACCTACAACACCCTACCGAGAATCATTAGGCAAGTACAACAAAGTTAAAATCAAGCTAAAGTGTCATTTTAAACAGTAATGCTTGCAGTTTATGTTGCCTTTGTAACTTAATTAATTTTCTAGTTTTAATGTTTTAATGTCTGTGGTTTTGTGTTGTGTCAGGGCTCCAGTTAAACTAGCCCTGCTAAATTGGATGCTCCTGGATAAATATTGATTTAAAAAATGGCAATAACAGTATTACAGCATCTAAGATGTGGAAATGAATCCCTAACTTTCAAAAGTTTTGATATTCAAGGTAAATGCCCGTTCTATTTCCTAGGTGAGAAAAAGAAGGTGCCAGTGAACTACAGCAGCATAGTAACAGATTTATTTGATGGTACAATTCAGAGCTCAGTGCAGTGTTTAACATGCCATAGGGTAACCAACATTATCTTTAACTAATATAACTAAAGGGGTCTTTACATGAAAAAACTCTCACTAGTACAAATTCCATTCTGGAATGACCACTTAATTTCATATCTGGTTTACATGTTTCATCTCTAGTGCGACATAACCAGCTTGGATTGACAAAAAAATACACATCCTGTTCCAATCCATGGGGAGGCCAATTTTATACCAAAATGAGTGGTTATTCTCTGTTTACTATAATTATTATTAACACTGTTGGAAGATTTAGCACCAGAGTGAATTCTTGCCACAGTACAGGAATTGAGGTGAACCCACACCAATTTGACTTATTCAGGTATTTTTCTGGTGGTGTCATGACTTGTAATCACATACAGAGCCACAAGAGGGAACTAGGGTTAACTACGTCTACTGTTGTTTTTAAAAAAGTCGATATTTTTCATTTACAAAATGAAGGTTTCTTCAAGAGCAGAAACGTTTCAGGATGTGTCTCTGCCAATTCCAGGTAAGAATGATATTTATTTGTAGTTAACTAAATGTACTTTGGTCAAATCTCTACTATCAGCCACCTCTTTATGACAACCATTTGTCTCTGCTACATATTTTGTGTCACAGAACTTAAAACTGCTCAAAAGGTTGTTTTGTACATTAATTTATTCCAATCGATTCCATTCCTGTAAATATTTTTTTGTTGTGCTCATTTGTGCTGCATGCGTTTACTTTACATTGTAAAACCATGTATTTTACCAGTAGGTAATTATGAGGTAGTATAGTACCAGGAGGACATGAACTCATGGTCCATGGTCAATGCTAAAACATTCTATTTTCTGTTAAATCTGCATTTCAACATAATTCTTCAGCATTTGAAAGTCTGAGAAACTTAAATCCTCATTTGAAGCATTTCTCCCCGGGCTTCATTAAAATTTGCTACCAGCTACCAGTAGTTTGATACAGGTAACCTTCTGTACCAGCAAAGAATCTTCCTTTAATTACTTCGATGAAGGGAAAAAGTAGCCAACATTTCTGACCATAGTAGCCAGTGCTTCTGATTGGCCATAAAAAATAGACTTTGAGAGTGCTATTTTGAGGACTCTAGTGAAAATGGGAATACTATATTGTGTGGTCATCTGAGCCGCATGAAGGCGTCTCCAAGGCAAAGGAAGTACATGTACCTTCATTTCTCAGTTATTTTAAAACCCTGAATAGTTGTCCAGTCCTGGGAATTGAATCCTTGACCTCCTGCTTTAAAGTTAAGCTCTATACCAACTGAGTAAATTTTGTTTTACTGAAGAGTGGCTTAATTCTGTTAATGACTTCATGCCGATATTATTCCACTGTCAGGCAAGGATGAGTTGACTGTCCTTCATGCATCTCAGTGTACTCCACTTGCATCATGTTCATCTGCGATGGACGTGGAACAAGACAAAGGCTGGATAGCATCTATATTTGAATGGCTAAGAAGGTACTACGGGAAAAATATCCCGCGAGCAAGCTCTCCTATTTGGGTGAGTGAAGCGAGTCTCATGAGGCTCACTTCACTTGCCCAAATAGGAGAGCTTGCTCGCAGGCTACGGGAAAAAGTCCTTAAAATTCTTAACTATTTGAATGACAGGACGTGTAAACTTATATCACTGACTATTAAAATTTATTACTTATCATATCTTTACAGGTGGTTTCTGGGTCCTCAGGTTACACTTCAGGATTGCCTCTCAGCTTTCTTCTCTGCTGATGAACTTAAAGGTACTTCATACAGTATTATGAAAAGGTAGAAATACAGATATTTTATTACCAGGATTATGTTGTCATCATATTCCTCTCTCAGTCCCAGTGACACATAGGGTGGAAACAATATTTCTCCATTCTGGTCTGCTTTTGCCTAACTGAATATCAGTCCAGCTCCTCCTTGCAAATTCAGTTGTTCCTCATTGGCCAAGAAGAGTTTGGCTTGGCCCTTCAGGCTCCAACCCCAAAATTGTTGAGTATCTGGCTTGCATTTCTGTGAAAATTTGTGGTTTTACAAGAGTGGGTGGTTAACTTCAAACCTCAATCCCCAACCTTGAGGGCTAGGGACTGTTCTTTTCCTGGTCTCTATCCCTCAACCAATCTTTTATATTCAAACTTGCAAGGGACCAGAGTCTAAGCCAGCATGGCTCTTGTGGTGTCTGAGACATGCTAGCCTCAGCACTTCAGCAAAGTGCCAGCCCATAGTGACCAAGCTCTCTTTATTAAAACATTAATTTTTTTAAAATAACTTATTCCCATTTGATTATTATTGTCCTTTCGTTTGGTTTGTTCTTCAGGAGATAATATGTACAGTTGTGAAAAGTGCAAAAAGTAAGCAGCTGCTTTATTTTCTTTGATGTCTTAGTAAGAAATCTTCCTTTCATATTTTGATCTTTTTTTTTTTGCTTAAATGTTGAAATGTGTCATTGTTTTTAGGTTAAGAAATGGCGTCAAGCTTTGTAAAGTGATGCACCTTCCTGAGGTAAGTTGACTGCATATTTTATAGTTTGATCTTATGAATCTAACACTATGTTGTACCTTGGTGAATATCAATGTCGGCGCACCTGATGTTGCTGGTGTTACAGAAGTGGCGTCTTTTTGTATGTAACACTCACCCAGAAGCACAGTCATTTAGTTATTACAACTCATTTTTCAGCAAATTTGTTTACTTTTTCTCTTGCTAGATTTTGTGCATCCACTTGAAGCGGTTTAAGCATGAAATGTACTTCTCTTCCAAAATCAATCACTTCATTTCTTTTCCTCTGACTGGATTGGACATGAGGCCCTTCCTGGTAAAAGGTGTGAAATATCATTAAACAAATTCTGTGTAATTTGGAGCTGCAGGAAGAATAGGTCAAAGTAGTATAGGACAAGTAATCATTAAACAAAGTAAGGGAGCGTGGGTGAGATCAATTTTATTGAAGGTCAAAACACTCTTGCTGCAACGCTGTGCTTTGTGTATTAAGTTTCATGTGACTGAAGGTCACATGTGCGTGATCAGATTGTGTTCTGTGCATTCTATACAATCTTAATGGAAGTCCAAATAAATGCTGGCTACATACATGCCACACATGCATAACAGCAACCTGGAGATTAGGATTGCCGGCTTTTCTGTTCGGCCATAGCAGTAGATGTAGGATGTATTGGTAGATGTTGGTGTTGTATAAGTTGACAGTGGGTTTGGGTATGTTTTGGGTGGAACTAAATGGCTGAGGATGAGGGTTGTGGGTAGAAATTTTTTTTCTTATTCCATGTATGTCCAGTATGAGTAGAGAGTATGTTTATTCCTATCACAGTTGAAACAAATAAATCTGATATGTTAAAATGCACTTTATCGTACTGTTCAGATTTTAACAGACAGGAGCCAATGCAAAAATGTACAACTTATGATCTTGTCGCTGTTATTACTCATCATGGAAATGTTGGAGGTAAAATTAATTTGTTTATCGGTTTACGTCAACTCTGTCCAAAATGGCCACCTTTGGGACCGGAACTTAGTGTCGGTCTTAGAGAGATGCCCATCAGTTATAGAAAGTCAAATAAAGGGAGTAAAGAAAGGCAACGGCCAGCTCTAGGTGTCCGTTTCAGTAAGGTGTCTGATAGAGGTGTCCTTTAAGAGAGATTCAGCTTATGTTAAATACGTTTAAGTAGTTGTGGATTTTAATATAGAAAACAAATTCTTTTAAGTTGGTACAAGTATGCTTAATAAAGGCACAAAGAGAATCAAACTTTGAGGATCACAGGCAAAGAAATATTCATTTTCATAAACTACAAGCATTAGGCATGACATTTTTTATCACATTGTTTCTTGCAGCTGGTCATTATGTGTCTTTTGCCAAGAACTACATCAATGGAAAGTGGTATGAGTTTAATGACTCTTGGGTCAGTGAAGGTAAGCATACAAATACTGCATAACCAGCTACATGTATTGTATTATTGGAGAGCTTTTGATTCTGAGACGAGGACGACTAGGAGTACAAGATTTTCTCAATACTGAGTTTGCTCATGCGTGAACTAGCGTCATTTTGGCGGGAAAAACTGATAGCCGTTGTCATTCTACTATGAGTTTTAGCGAGAATGTCGTAGAGGCGGGAACAGGTTATCAAATGTAAGAAGCTTTGTCATTTTGTCATCGAGAGAGGGCTTAACCTCCTTCAGTATAAATACCTGTACTTACTTTTTTGGTTAAAAAAAGTAAAATGAAGCTCTCAGGGGTGTCTTTTTTTTAGAACACGCGCAAAAACCTAAAGTTAAGTCTCGTACTCATACTAGTTCTTGTCTTTAAATCTAAAGGTCTCTACTATGTTTCCCCGCCCTACTCTCCCACGTATAGTAGTTGGTAAACTTGCCTACGAGTCGAGCTCAAGTATTTTCACGAGCGTGAAGCGCGAACGGTAGATTTTTTATGTTTTCTGTGCCAAAAGCGAGCAAGAGAGTTAACTCCCGGAACCGGAAATGAGAAGCGAAGGATTTTGAGAAGGTGTAAGAAGTTGGTTTCCCTTTGGTGGTTTGAGAGAGAAAATAAATTTTAAACTGATGTTTTGCTTGTGAGCATATGGTGGGAAGTTAATTTGAGGAAAGATCACAGCTGGTTCCCATTTGATCTCGTTACATGTTAGTGAAATTATCAAACTTAGGCATGTTTGTCTATTTGAATATCGCTACTTTAGAAATTTTTAACATTTTAGTAATTGCTGATCAACGTTTTGTGTTTCCCTCCAGTGTCTGATTCATACGTGTCTGATGTAGAAGCGTACGTGTTATTCTACAGGTCAGTTTCTGGGAGTTTACATCTAGCCAGATTTTTTTTTAACGTTATCGCCGAATGGACCTTTTGGGTCGAACACTTTTTTTCGGCCAAATACTATCTCCAGAGTAGCCATTATAAAAACTACGAGTACAAAAATTTTTTTTGTCTTCTCCTCCTTTCCTTCTCCTCGCTCTTTCTTTTTCTCCTTTCCTTTTCCTTTGTTACTATGATTTTAAAGCTTCTCAGGCTTAAGAAACCTGCCTTTTGGCTCCTTCTTACTCAAATGACTGCAAATTTCCCTAGGTTGGTTTTCAAAAAATTTGTTAGACATACAATCGCATAGAAATCATTAATCCAACAATTTCATTCCTTAGCATAACTAAAAACATTTATCATCTAATACGTTAGCTTGTTAAAATTAATTTGAAGGTGTTTGAAGGTGTTGTGTGTTTACTTTGTACTCAAAATTGATCTTGTGTTCAAACAATTTCAACTTTGAAGCTGAGTACTACTACCTGGTTGGCTATCAAATTGCTATATGTTCTGCGAGAAAACATCAATTATTTGTTACTTGTAATTATTTTATCCCGGTTATTTTTGTTAAATAGAAAATCAAGCGGTGAAGCTACCAAAGAACGTCAAAGATTTTTCAATTTGCTGAAAGATTCACAGGTGAAGTCTAGAAAATTTGTCATGCTTCTCTTTGATCTCCTAACCAATCGGACCTTTACTTAGCCTGACAAAAACAGCCGAGATTTCATGATTCCACCAACGTTTTCCCCGTGAAATGACGTCTGAGAAACGAGCGCAGAAATTCCATACTGATGACGTGTCGCTACCCAGACCTGGATAGTGCTTCTGATTGGTAGAATTAAATTTCCCTCGCGGCACGTCCAATCAGAAGCACTACTTAGATCTGTGACACGTCATCAGTATGTAATTTCTGTGTTCTTCTGACGTCACGTCGCGGGGAAACCAGTGGTTGCGTCGTGAAATGTCGCCTGTTTCCTCAAGCTGTCCTTTACTAAGACTCTCTTGTTCCATTTTAGGCCAGTGAATCGAGGCATTTTGTGTCCAAGAAATGGCTGACAAAGTTCCAGTCTTGCATGGAGCCAGGTAATTCTGATCAGCTGGGCTTTTTATAGTCGAACCGCCACTAACGGCCACTTCCCTATAATAGGCTGATTTAGCTACAGAACGGGAACGTCAGTTGACGACAGCGCGCGCAAATCAAACAACTGGCCTGACCAATGGCAGAGCGACAAATTGGGCACCGGAAGTCGAGTTTAGTCGTTTTCGCGCGCTTTTCCGTCGTCAAATGACGTTCGCGTTCTGTTGCTAAATCAGCCTAATGACCACCTTTCTGCAACGGCTACGGTTTTTGTCGGTCAGTCCATACATTGGCTCTTGTTTAAACATCTCTACAACGGTCACTTTCTTCTGTCCCAAGGTGCCCGCTGAGGAGAGGTTCAACTGTTTAATGGGTCAATACATCGCCATATGTCAAGAAATTGCATGAACATTGCATGTTTTAAAATGTCGAATAGTAGTCTACATATTTTAAGTAACGTAAACTGTTCGGTGAATTTGCAATGGCCAAAAAATTTGGCATTTGTTCATGCTTAACACTTTTTATCATGACCTCTTTCACAGGTCCAATTACAAACACAGACTTCATGTGTGCCCACGGGGGTAAGTAATAAAAAACTAATGATTATTTTTTTAGCTTTAGTTGTTTAGCTTTAGCGTTTTTCGATATTTGCCAGGTTGGTCAGTGTTGTGTTGAGTCGCTCTGTGGAGCTGTTTTAAGGGAGACATTTTGACCCAGTTTCCCGCGCAACTTTGTAACAGCCAATGAAAACAGCGATAGCTTCCAATAAACAGTCCCGTATATAGAGCAATTACACTGTAATAATGAGACTGTGATACATTCTCACAGCTATTCATCCACATAACATGGAAAGAATTCATGACAGAACTGTTCCTCTTCCTGAATCAGTTTGGAGACATCTCCAGGCCAGGTGAGTACAATAATTGTCCAGAGAGAGGGGGTCTTTTCGTACGTCATCAGAATCTATTCTGTGTTTTCACTCACGTGGCCTGCATCTATGTAAATTTATTGGAACAAAAGAAAGCGTTTACATAGGAAAAGAGTTCAACTCCCACAGGACTGGTTTGGGACACAAATATGGCCGCCATGACGTCATCTGAAAACACAATTTTGTGAGTTCAGTACTCATGTGACTGATCGTGAAGCGTACTGAATGTGGATGTTGCGAGAAAGGGAAGACCGCAGTCCGACTGCAACTTCAACTGAGCATTTCTTACCAGCATTAACCATAGTTTGTTTATCTACTCACTGATGATTTTGTGTGTAGGTTTGGAGGAGGTCCTGTGGCTACAACTTTGAGCATGTGTGCACATTGCAAGGTATAAAAAACTCAAAGTTTACGTTCTTTCTTAAGCAATCGAATAGAATAATGAATAATGCCCTGGAGCAAGATGCTTAAAATACAGCGTCAATCTAGAATCAAACGTAACTGCTGTAGTTTGGTTTGCAAGTATAGAGTTTTGCCAGACTGAACGTCAGACCTACGCTGTACGGCCTTCCTTGGTTTTTATGCAGCTTGACCTTAGATTCCAACCCTGACATCATCCGGCTTCCACCGACTCGAAACCTCTGCTTTTAAGACAGCCCCTGTGCCTGACGCGTCACACTTTTTGATCAGTCAGCAGGCTTACAAGCTCTTCCCGAGACTCTAGCTACGCGTCTTCCATTAAAACACTAAGCAAAGACTTTGCAGGCCGTCCAGAATTTTGTCTGTCATGTTTTGATTCTCTTAATACAAACTTGTTGCCGGGCTGTTCAGGGTGGCGGTGGCAATACTCTACCAGCCGCACACAAAGTTCCTTCACCTTCTGGACCATTCACATTGCCCTATTTTTCGGTAAGATCGCCACGATCGAGCACCTACCCTTAAGGGCGGCCATCTTGGTTTCAAATGCACCGAGTCTAGCCTGGGGATGAGTATCAAATCTACTAAGGGGGCGGGAGACGGTTTGGGCGATGAACGCCGGGGCCCACCCCCTCGATACATCTGAAAGTAAGCTGGCCGTCCGTAACGGTAAGGTCCAGGAAGTGCTTAATCTCGATGATTTCAAGGAAAAATAGAGGACTGTTAACAGTCTTTGAGGCTTGACGTTAGTCATACATTTGACTCCAAACCCTGGTTTTGTAGGATGAGTATTACAGAAAGCAGCACTTCAGACTTTTGATATTTTGATTTGTTTTCTCTGCTAGAAAGCTCTTGATGACCTTGAAAGAAGACGACAGTGGGAAATGGAAACATTTAAAAGGGTTCGTTTAAATATTTAATACAGCCTTAATACTTTCGTTTTTCGGTAAAAGGGCGCTCTCCCAGTCTGAAATGTTTTTGAAAACTTTTTAATTCCTTGATGTAGCCTCTTGTCGATGCGCATGGGAAAACCGCATAATGTGCAAATATATCTTTCATTTTATAAAGGTTTCTCTTAGATTGAAAAAAAGAAAGCTTATAACGCGGAAGATTTCAATGCCATCGCGGCACCTTTCTGAGTTGATCGAGTTTTGTCACGTGATGTCAGTCCCTAGCCCTCGATAGATCTAGCATCATGGGCTAATGTTGTGTATTTCTGTTGTCTCATCAGCTTAACCATGACTACCCAGCCATTGACAATGCAGACATGTACTGCATCAGCATGCGATGGTTTAAACAGTGGGAGATGTTTGTCAAAGGACAAGAAGATGGTAGGCCGGCTTCACCGTCATGTCATCCGCCACCTTAGAAACGAGAGGGAAACTGGGCCGAGTTAGCTTTCACAAAGGCTTGTGGGACTACAAAAATTAGTCAATAGATGACCGGCACGTCACTAGTAACGATCCCAGAAGTCTTTGTGAAGATTAACTCGGCCCAGTTTCCTCCTCGTTTTTTAAAGTGGCGAATTACTAACTGAAAGAGAGATTCTCCTGGGAGCAACATTAATTTATAGTTCATGTGGGTCACGACCGATCTTAAAATAAAGCTGGACACTCTTGCAGAAAACTGTTGTAAAGTACAGTACGCCCTGGCACAGAAGGGAACCAAATCGATGGGAAAGCGTCAAGATATTGATAAACAACATATTTCGCCCGATAACTCTTTTGTTTCAGCCTTCTTGTAAATAATTTTGACAGTTCTTTGGAGTAAGGACCGTGAGAAGTGAAACGTGATGTATCGAACAGTGACGGTTTTGACGCCTTGTGTTAGTTGACATTTTTTCGTAGAAGCTAGAAATCCATCTTTTTATAGTTATATTGGGCTACAGCTTGACAAAGAAGAAGAAGAAACGAAAACTTCTCTGACCAGGGTGAATGCTATGTTTTATGTATGTGATGTGCTGGACACATATTTATGAGCACAATTATGGTCAGATATTAGGAAGCTTAAGCAACGACGACGGCGAGGGGAACGAGAACGTCAACGCTTTTTTGTACATTTCTTAGCCGTCGTTGCACGACTACAACGCAAAAGTGCCTAATTTCATGTTTTGTTGAGGACGGGAACACAAGACAACAACTTTCTTTTTCTTTTCCTGAACTTTGATACAGTCCTTTAGAATTCAACTCTAAAAAAAGTTGCCAGCATTTGACGATTTAAACGAGATGGAATAAGCGCGATAAAGTTTGAGGCAGCGCGAATTCACTTACGTTAAATGACGTTTTCTTAGCCGTCGCCGTCGTTGTTGTTTAAGCTCCCCATTGTTTTGGGAACGTCATTGCACTCCAGTAAGGTGATACTAGACAAACTTTATTTAATACACATATATTACATTAGATCCTCCTGGGCCCATCGACAACAGTAACATTTTATTTGTGAAAGGCAACACCAAAGTACTGAGAGCTAGTAAGTATATTGCAAAAATTTTTCAAATAATTACGGATAAAATTATGTGCGGAATAATTAGTACTATAAACTATTTTACAACTGGCTACAGTTCTTTAAAAAAGTACAAGTTACCTCACCGTCTCTCATCGGATCCTTCCCACCTTCTTCCCAACTTTCCATTTCTTTGTTTCTTTGTTTCTTTTTCTCTTTGCTCCATTCTTCCTCTACTCTCTATACACTGGGGACAGGCTTGTGCATCTCTCTACTGTTTTTGTTGGTTTTCAGACGCCTGGGTTGAGCTCTCTCCTCCGCAGAGGCTCCCGCTGGGTGTCCCAATAAAGATAACAATAATGGAAAAACAGAAAGCGCGCGGGGGGACGATGGGAAGAGGGAAAAGGCGGGAGCCTCTCTTTTTAACTTCTCTTTTCTCTTTCCCCTTCCCATCGTGCCCCGCGCGCTTTCTTTTTCTCCCCAGCCTCCCTACGACACAAAGAGCAGAGAGTGGGTGGACAAGAACTGGTGCGGCGTGGCCGCTAAAGCGCCAGGAACGTCACAAAAGTGGAGAGTATATGAGCTTATATGCTAATGGTATCCATGTCTGTTTTAGATTCAGACTACGGACATTTATCGGTAGAGACGTGGAGATTCTTGCACGATATTTATGAGGGAGGGCCAGTGTTTTTCATCGAAGGACAAAAAGACAGTGAAGAAGAAAAGCAAGAGAAACAAGAACAAGATGAAGAGGCCAAACAAGAATAATTATGATTAAAAATCTTAGTATTGAGTTATTCAGTAGTTAAATAGTTCAGCTATTATAGCTGCGAATAACAATGGTCAATGTCTCACTAAAAATTGCCCCTTCGAAATTTGACGAAATTCTCAACTGTGGTAGGACATGATGTCCTAACAAAAAAAAAAACACCTCGCACGTTTGGAGCTTAAACAGGGGCACCCAACGACAACGTTTGAAAAATATCTGTTCGGAAGACGATTTGAGATCTAGAATTTTCGGAACATTTGTTGTAAAATTTCTTGCTTGCCTGCCTCTCCTAGGATCTTCGAACATCTAAAAAATGGTATAATTGCCTATTTTTAACCGATTTTTACCCTAAAAAGGTGACCTAGAGTTTTAGGGAGCCTTTTTTCGAGCTGAAATTTTCGAAAAGGTAAGTTTTGATCCCTATAATTTTCGCAAAATTCAGCTACGAAATCCGAACAGATGAAAAATTTTTAGGGGATAAAAATATGCCTACCTATATTTACCGTTTAAATACTAAAATACGTTCAACAATGCTATGTTTAAGTGGTTTTGAGCTATATTCTCGTTGGGTGCCCCTGCTTAAATAAGGCTGATTGAGTCTGACCACATGTTTTGGAAGCTGCCTTTGAATGCCTAACTGTCCAGCACAGAGGTGTTTTAAAGAGTACCTTTAAAATATTTACATTCTATACCCCCAAAGTTTGTTGTATTTCATCCTGGATCTTAAACCAGGTAAAACAGCTGTAGATGTCATTAACTATAGCAATTCCTAATGTTCGTGCTACAAAATTAAGATACATATTGAATTAGAGAAAATTTTAGAAAGTACTATACAACCTTTTAAAATAAGTTATTAATAATCTGATGTTTTCTCTTTTTATAAACGATACAAGACTCTTCATTGTGAAGAAGAGTTTGATAGTGAGACATTAGTTGCAACTGTAATTAGAGAAGGTTTGGTTATTATTAAATAATAATAACTGTGATCAATAGATTTGTTAACGTAACTAGCCGACTTGCCTAGATTTGTCTTTTGTTTGGCATCCGAAAAGATTCTTAAGTTGTGGGTTATCGTGGGTGAAAGTATAGATGGTTTGTATCTCGTCATTGTTCGTCGACAGGTAGTCCAAGCTCAAATTATAAGCGTCAGTAATAATGTTGCGTAGCTTTCGAAACTTAAGGATTTGCACGAGAAAAGCGACTGTTTTCATTAATAGGAAAAAAGAATCACACTTCTTTAGTGAGGTTTGCCGATTTTTTACCTAAATTCCTGCACATTTGTATAGGGTGCAGTGTTCATGTTGGCGCCAAATCCACCGCGCGATTGTTACAAAGGCTTCAAAATTGCGATAACAAAATAAGATTTCAAGCTGTTGTAAATGTTTTTAAGTAAGCACGTTGAGACCCTCCTCTCGGAAGTTTTCTCAACATCAGTGGTCAAGAATTCTTTCCTTATAAAGTCTTTGGAATTTGTAGACCCGTGCTTTGACTGGCGAGCAACAGCATAATTTGCCTTTTTCATAAGCGGAAATGAAGTCGACGTTTCCTTTCAAGGTGTCAAAAGTAAGTCCTAAATCGCTATTGCTAAGCGTAATTGACGTCTTATTTGGGTCGAAAACGTTTCAATTTATTTTCGTCTGTTTTTAACGTGTACAAGGACGTTACCTCGAAACCGGCTTTAAGATGTTTCTTCCCCTTGGGCAATTAATCGTCGCCCGGTTAGCTCAATTGGATAAGCGCCGGCCTACCGAGCGGGAGGCCGTTGATTCAAAACCCGGCCGGACCAGCACTAAGGGTCTTTAAAAAACTGAGAGGAAAGTGCAGCATTTGGAAATACATCTGCAGACGGTTAGAGTTTCTTGTCTTTTCGGATAAGGACGATAAACCGTAGCCCTCGTCCCACAACCCTTGCACATGTAAATCCCGTGGGACGTTAAAGAAGCCACCTACTCCGGTTCGAAAAGAGTAGAGGATGTAGTCCCCTCTCATTGGGGAAGGAGCTGTTACGGGCCCAAGTAGTGCATATGGCGGCACGCGCTGTTGCGGTGACCGTGCCAAGAACTGGCAAACCTAAGTAAACTAGAGGTAATCATTAATTACGGATCCGCGTTCGTCACTTACGCAAACGAAATCGAGTCGAAAGGAGTCCAGTTTCCCGGCCAAGATGCCCCTGATAAAATTGATAGGGGCGGCTAATCGGCAGTCGCCCGTGATAGCTCGAATCTCACTGCCTTTGTGCCACAGGAACACTAGATTATGATGCGTTCTGACGAACGCGATAAATTTATTAGGCGTATAACAGCAAACATGAACGTGATCGAAACCCGGAGTGATCCCAGCCCCTTGGGAATCTTTGGGGAAAAGGTAATGTAGTCTGCGAAAGAAGCTTCCCAAGCGGCGAGGGGCGAGGAGAAACGGCTGTTTTCGCAGGCTAGGTCTAGTGTAACTGCACCAAAAAAACCTCTTAGAGTCGTTGAAATCCCAACATTTCTTTAAAAAAAGACGAAGCGTCCCTAGAATAATTTGACGAAAATAAGGCTACCTTTCGACCCGACCTATCAGGGTGGCCAGCATCTTCGAATGAGAAGAAAAAGCCACCCTTTCGAGACGACCAGCGTTCCCCAAGACATCCGAGAAAAAATCAAAGGCTCCTAGGAGCGAGCTCATGGATGAATTGAATTAGTGTAGAAAAGACAGTTCAATAATCAAAGAAAAACATATAAATCTTTTTGGACGGTTCATTGTCTACGAACTTTCCAAAATACAGCGTGACTCGAAGTATCCGATTGCATGTGCACCTGAATATTCTAGAAACTTGTTAGCGCAGCATTTCTACTTACAAAGCAAAGATCACTTTTAAAAGCAATTATTGACGCTTTTTAGTTGTAAAATAATTTGCTTTCTCATGTGACTGTCAAACACTTTCCGAACGACAGTGCACTTCCTTGTAAAATAGCCAAGTTTCACATAAGCACGAGTTTTATTTAAACGGTGATTTTAAACAATTATTTTAATGGACCTCGAAGGTTTCCTAAAAGTGCGATACTTTTAAATAAACGTTTCCATATGCTGTTCACAAAGAGTACGTAACGGTTAGCATACGTAGTACGAGCTATTAAATACAGAATACAGGCGTTTTTTTAATATGGCTAAATTACACTGCTTTAGAACGTGCTTTTGATAAACATTAGCTAAAAATTATTTTCATAAAACGGATTAAGCTCAAAGCAGTACGTGCTCTGACCTAGCCAAGTAACTAAACATCACACAGATAGTAGACAAGTGATTGGGACCAGGCAGTGTTTATTTACATTCCACAGTGCAATAAACCACTAGACTATTAACAATTCAACGTAAACGATAAGAAAGAGGATACTACAGCCATACAATGAAATCAACCGAAAAATTACAAAATGAAGAAACAAAAACAAAACAACGAACAATCGAACTGCCTTAGGTGTGGGTGGGGGGGAAGCGAAAATACAAGCTATTTAAAAATGCTATAATTGCTGTTGCTAGTAAAGCGTAGGTTCAAATGAACTCAAATAGCTATACATCTAATACGAAACGTGCTAGGTTGGGCAATCCCCTGAGACTTACTAGCGTGGACTATTTTGATTGGTTCTAATAAAGTCTTGTGATTATACAATGAAAGTTGCTCAATATGAAAATACGGACTATGAACCCTTCCTGCCCCCAACCAGGGCCTCTCTGCTACCGATGTCTAGATTTATATTAATAGGATTAATATTCACTTTAAACGCAGTCGAAGTATCCGATTGCCTTTCTCCACCTGAATGTTCTAGAGACTTGTTTATACCAGCGCAGCATTTCTTGTAGAAATTACATTAATAGCACTGCTAAATGGAATCACCGACAAACAAAAGCCTACTTTAAGGCAAAGATCACCTAAGAATTCAAGCAAAATAGCGTAACGCTTGTTGGTTCTAAAACCTGTGCTTCTAGTTGACACAACATTAATTCATACCCTGTTTGCATACGTAGACAAATGATCGAACGGATTCGTCCAAATAACTGAATAAACCATAATAGATACTCCTCAACGTCGCTTTAACAATTCGGGGACCGTTTTTTGCAGTAATTATAAGGCTCTTTGGCTAATTCGCTTTTCGCTGAACGAAATCCCATCGTCAAGCTACAATAGCTCTTTCACACTCCTGTCGATCGCATCTTCTCCATATCAAGCATAATATCGGGAACAAATGTGCACAATTCGTCCAAATATACAACAATGATCCACGCTCAATTATTTCAATGTCCTTTTAACAATTCTGAGTCCATTTCTTGCAGATGATATTATCAGTGTTCTTTAGAATATGTCCATTTAAACAAAACCCCTCTCTATAATTGATGTGTCGGGAAAAAAAAGTCGCTTTACTGGTAGCCTCTAGAATATTCCAAACATATGCTTAAAAGGCACTTGGAACAAAAGTAATACTAAGTAAGGGAGGTAAGATTAAAGTGTTTAATCTGACTTCAATGAATAAATTAATGAGAATGAGAAAGTGAGTGAGTGAGTGAGTGAGTGAGTGAGTGAGTGATCGAGTGCCATTCGAGTTCCTCCAAAAGCCCATGGCATGACTACGTCATCCATAAGCTAAAGAAAGATTTTTTAAGGCCACCCCGAATACCAAAAACGCGTCTGACGTATTTAGTGTTCCTGCTTGATTAACAGGTGACGGCTGAACAAGTAATTTGAATGTTTGAGTTGGAAATGAATCTTAGGATTAAGGTCAAAAATTAAAAGGGCCTGAATTAATCTGTTTTTTTTTTTTTAGTTCTGTCTGTGAAGTTTTAAGAGGTTTGCATCAACTCTTTTTATCACAGAGTAGTTTTAAGCCGAACTAAGCCGGATTTACCTGGGTTTTCCGGTGCTGTATGATTAGACAACTGAGAGGTCAGTATTACTGAAAATTTGCCCATCTCTAGATTTGCAATCATTTTCTTGAACACTAACCTTCTGGTTTTTGTGTGTGCACTTTCATTGCAATAAATTAAAAAATGGCAAACGTGCATCGTGCAACCATGAGTTTTGGCGGATGCGGCGCGGTAATCGAAGTTGTTGTATTAGGGACTTGTCAGAAATTAGCAGGGGGGTAGGGGGTGGAAACAGAGGGAGGGTCACAACTTTTTTAGACTCAGAAAAGGGAGGGGTCATGAAAAATATATGCCTGTGCAAATATATGCCTGTGATCATGCAGAGGTTCACCCACATAAGAAAAAGGAAGTTCTTTTTTTGGTAAAAAAAAACAAACAAACAAACAAACAAGAAAAAAACAAGAACAACGGAACATTATGGATATAAACTGTGAAGTACTATTACAAGAATTTAACAAACATCTACTTTTCATTTATAACAAAGCTATAGAGTCTTATTGAAAGAATGAATAATGTTGTTATTAATGTTTAGTTAAGGTAAAAAAAAAACACTGGAAAACCGTGTACGATCAATCTTGCTCAACATCGGATCCAAAAAGATCGTGATCAGTCAAAATAGATCAAATTGAAAACGTTACAGTCAAGAAGACTTAATGTTATCAGAGTTTTGGCTATCCCATTCATCACTATCTTCAGCATCACCATCAAATGCTGCTGTGAGCATCTTAATCATCATCATTTTTGTCATCAGCATTGATACAATCACTTTCATCATCATCATGATTTCCATTTAAGTTGAAGCGTAGATATTGCTTGATGTCCTGTGATTCAATGGTGAACAATACCTTCTCCACGGCATATTGGATATATGGCCTTTGTTTTAAGGAGCCGACTTAAACTTCATAATGAAGAGATAACGAGCCAATAGGCTCTGTAACATCATGCTACTCTTGCTAAGGTGCAATGGTTTCCGGCAATAACCCTTTTGCAGTTAGCTTCCACTTGTTGCACTAGCTTTCTTTGCTTTCCTTTTATTTTGTTTACTTGTTGCCTTGGAATACTGCACCTTAAAGAGCCTGGAACATTTTTCCTTCAATTCTGTAACGTGGAGAGGGTCATGATATTTTAGGCCAAGTACAAGGGGAGGGTTAGCAAATTTCACTCCCATTGCAGAGATGGGTCGCCTCATTTCCGAACCCCGATTAAAAGTTCCCACCCCCCCTCCTCCCCTGCTAATTTCTGACAATTCCTTAAGATACTTAGCCTGATTCATTAATTGTTAATTAACGTTAACGCTAATCTGCTATTTATAGGAACTAATCCTTTTAATACTAACGTAGCTTGTCAAACTCGAGCACAAGAATTTCGCATTACGCACAGATAAATTACTTATATACTCAGTTGTGACTGAAAGGTCACAATTCACATCAGAACACCGCGACTTCACTAACAAGCAAAATGTCCTGGATTCCAAATATCCGCGTTCAGCGATTTTTTCAGCAACTGCTTGTCAACTTCAGGCAAATTGTATCAAATGTTCGTCATTTTGGCGGGGCCCTCTTTCAATGGCTTTTTTGTGGGCGTTGGAACAACCGAGAGCCTCAGTTGGAACGCGGTCTTAATCAAGGTAAACTGAAAGGAAACGAACTTTACTGGGCAAAGCGGAAAAGTTGTGTATCAGTAGGAAGATGCAATGTGAAATGGAACACATCAAAACACACATATATTGTTGCTACTGATAGGCAAGAACCAGTCGAACCCCTTTCTTGTGTTGTGTAGAAAGTCCTTTTTTACAAACCACGTCTATCACAAATTACATGAATAACTGTAACCTATAATGTTGTTTATTTTCATTAGCTATTAATCATCACAACAATGAAGCTCAGACAAGGCGTTCAAGTCTGCACCGTGAAGGAGGCAAGAATATAAAAGAACCTGTGGAGAATGACGAGGGTAAGCTGATAAAATTTAAACAACTAAGATAGATTCCGATTTAAGAATACTGACCTTCTACTGAAATAGAAGCCCCGAAAGATGGTTCCTCCAGAAACCATGCAACTTACAATACATGGCTATGTCTTTTGTCTGGACGGAAATCGATCTAATCATGTTTGGGCCAGTTTGGAGATCTATGGAAGGCAAACACCCAAGTGAACGAAAATAGGCTAGGATTTCAGCTGATTTTGAGCCATTGTAATGTCATCACTTACAAATGTTTTTGTGCATGTTTCATAGAGTCGTAATAGAAATGAATTTTATGTTGCTTCGGTGCATAATTCGCAGAATTTTCTCCCTTTCTGCTATGGCCTCTTTGCGAACTACCTTCGAAACAGCCTTTCTTCTAACAACTGATCTTACTCCTTCTACTCTCGCGTTTTGGCGCGGAACTGAACTATCTTTTGCATAGGCTCTTCTAATTTATCACTGAATTATGCTCGAAGTGAATGCTTGTTGAACCCCTTTCCATATTTCGGATACGTTTTTTATAAAAAAAACTTTTTCCTTTTTTCTTGAGCAAGAGCACTGTCATGTGAATTGTCTTACATTGGAACGCTGTGTTGCGCTACAAAACGCTTTTGCGAAGAATCGTATCGTGTAACATCACCTTTAGAGTAAAAGAGACCGTTCTTTGAACTCAGCGCTTCCTAACAAGAAACCTTTTGCCCAAAAATCGAAGTTTAGTTTGTTACAAACGAAGTAAAGGAAATGTTTGCGGAAATTCTACGTTTCAATTAAATAATACAAACTGAAAGAATGCTACAGGGAAACGACGCCTTACTTCGAGCAATCGATTCAGAATGTGAGAGTACTTCATGCGAAGAACGACACAAGAAACCTTTTTTACTAACTTGGCAAGTTAACAGAAAATAACAGAGCTCTTCTTTTCTTCTCAAGAGAGGAAACAATTAAACTTTTAACGGTCTCATGCTTAAAATACGGGCAACATTTTCACTCAACTTCAGTTGTCCGCAACATTGTTGCATTGCAAGTTGAAAAGCGTTCTTGGCCATATTACTACCTTCGCAGTCTCAACTTGTCACGCAGCAAATTTCGCTAGTTGCGCAAAGTAGATACGAGTTCTACTTTTTGCAACAAACTGTCAAAAGTATCACTTTCGTTACAACTTGCCAACTTCCCATGCCTCACAACGCTTGCGATTGGTCTATTTTCGTAGGTCGGTAAATATTCAGCCACTATTCATCTTGATTTCATAGCATTCTTGTCCACTTTTGTGTTGGTCTTCATAAAATAGCAGATAAAATAGCTCTAGTAGCCTCATCTCTACTCGATTAAGAGATAATTTACACGTCCTCTATAATTAAAAGAATTCTATTTTAATATTCTCCTTTCCAGAAAAATATCCAATCCAGTGTTTAGAAGCAAACTGACCTTGGTCTAACGAGCTTCAGAAGAATGATTACATTTTTTAAGGATCTTGTGATCGACAAGAGTTAATTTCTAAGCTGTCAGGATTTGTAGTTGAGATGTTATTTTCTTTGGAAAAGAAATATTTTGATGTTATTTTTATAAATATTTGAATTCCGTTAAGTCACTGAATTTTTTAAAAAGACTTTTCAACTTACTTGTAAAAGTAACTGAAGGGCAATATAAACCTTTATTCAAGAAATAAAAGTCAGAAGAAACAAATGTAGTGGACATGAATTTGTTTTCCGTCTATCTGTGAAGTTTGAGCGCGTTTTTAGAGGCCCTGGGGCCCGTTTCTCGAAAGTCCCGATAATTAACGGGCCCGGTAAGCTACTTTCACGAGGTATTACTGCACATAAACACCTTTATATAAACCAATTTTTGGTTCCAAAGGGTTCTTCGTTTTGCGAGAGAGGACGCTTGAAGTTCAAGGCTTTTGCGTGACGCGGCATTTAGCTAACGGGTCCTAACGGGGTCCTAACGGCCAGGAGAGCTCTTATGTGAGTTAAAAACATTACCGATTTTGGGAGATTTTGCTATCGAAACATTTCTTGTCTCAGAATAAATATTACTTTAATCTTTATGAGTTCCTCAAGCGAAGAATTCACGCATTAGTAGGAAAACTCGAAAAGAGATGTATCTGTTGGTATCCGGCGGCCATATTGGTGTCCCTGACTGGGATTCCAGCATGGCGTTTCCAAACAAAGCTTTATAAATTTAGGTAAATCGTTTTTCCGAATATCTCGCATTTGAAATATTGCACAGACCTGAGTTTTTACAAGACGTTTTGTATATTTATATTTTTTCATTTCCCAGATTCTAGAAGTTCTGTATGGCATGGTTTGCATTTTTATTTTTCATTGCGTGACAGTGCAAACCGAGTATTGGGGACCAGCCACAGTTTATGGAGATGTGCGAGGGAAAAAACGATTGGGGGGGGGGGAGGGAAGGAGGAGAATTCAGGGGTATGTTTAAGTGGTTGGAGGAGTAAATAATGTGTGTTTTTTTATCAAAGAAACAAGGTCTTTTTTTGGTTTCGCTATGTGAGGATGGGATCTTTTTTTTTTTTTTTTTGGTGTGTAATTTTACAAACTGAGCCTGCTTAATATTTATCAGAGATACTGGCAACTGAGAAAAATAAGTCAAGGTGGGCAGGATAACCGTGGGAAACATATGATATCAAGAGCCATGAAAACGATCAGTTAATGAGTGGAAACAGAACTCAGTAAGTATTCTGGCAGCAAGCTCTCCATTTTGAGTGCTCAGCAAAAGCAAGTGGTGATAGAAAGGTTATGCAAACAGCAAAGCCGCATCTCCTAGGGAATGCTACTCAAGTGTGTCTTATCCCCCACTTTGGTTTTTAGTTCCATTTTGTTCAGTTGATTGATTCTTTATATAAAGCTTACAAACATGTGTACTGCCTGCAGTTCGTGTTAAGAGCTAGTTGAGCGCGAGTAGTGGTTACATACGTATTAATAGAAGAGGTACATTTACAGAACAAGAGAAAAATGAGGTTTACAAGTATAAAATATTGTGTTAATCAGGGTTCAATCAGATTTTTGATCCAAAATTTTTCCAAACTTTTCCATAAAACAATAATTTCTTTTTCCAGAGACCTTAAAAAAAAGGAGGAACAAAGCTTTTCCATGACATGCAGGTGAAATTGAATTTTAACCAACACAAAAAAAATTTCACTTGTGAAGCACTTGTTGTAGTAGACTTTTTCAAAAAATTATTCAAAACTCTGTAAAAACCCTGTTAATTCTTATTATAAAAAATACAATTTATAAGTAGGTGGAATATATGATCGTCAGTTGAAGAAAATGAAGGGCTTGCTTGCAGGCTGTCATTAGGTGGAATTAAGGTTTGAGCACACATATTTTTTTCAAAGAAATAATACCATTCCCTGAAAACTAACCATTATAAAACCATCCAGAGTATGTGCATTTATTAAGTTGCTAAGGTGGTTATTCTGTACCTCATGCAGCCATGCATTGGTATGAACACTCTCTGACTAGAGGTCAAATGTTAATTAATTGTGGAAGATTTTGTTGGTTTATCTAGAATGTGAAAGTGCAAAAATGAGGCCCTGCCAGGGGGGGGGGGGCATGTCGCCTGTCTGAATTTTAAAATGTCTCGTGTTGGTGTTTATAAATGCTTGTCGCTTATTGCCGGTTTACCGTCCCTGTCACAATTTGGCCGAGGGAGGTTGTCTCTTGTCGCTATTTCATTTTACGTGCTGTTGCTACTTTTTGGGCCATGTCGCTTGTTGGAATTTACCCTGGCAGGGCCTCAATAATACATCCATCCAACAGGTTATCAGATAAGGCAAGGTTGACCTAAGCTTCATTATGATTCAAGTTAACCTGAGAGCAGGCCCAATTCTAGCAGTTCTTGTGCATTCTCCCTTACTCTCTTACATGGTTGTCATGCCAGCTGCCAGAGTTTTATTTACCTCATAACCACAAATAGAGCCTGAGCTCATGCTATATACTATCATGACATACCTTGATGGTTACCCATTTTTAAAAGAAATGGTCAAAATGATAACAAAATTCAAGTCCATACAAGGAAAGAAACCTGAGATACTAAAACTTCACTATTGAAGTACATGCACTAAAGCAAAATAATTATTATCCCCTACTTAGCCCATGCATGCAGCCATTCAGGTGCACAGGCTAAAGAGAGATAATAATTTCACCATTTTCATACAGACCATAATGCAACTTGTTTACCACTCCCCCCTCTTCCCTCCAAAAACAAAACTTTTGCATAACCATTGCCTTTGATTTCTCTTGGGACAACTCTAATACCTGGGAGAAACCGGAAACAATGGTTATGCAAAGTTTTAGGGGGCAACAAAGGTTCACTATGGTCTATGTAAAAATGGTGAATACAGTATTGTTGTTCAGAACATCCAATGTTTTTCAATGCAAAATCTAAAGTTACTTAAATTCGCTTTATTGGTAACTCCAGTTTCAGTCAACTCACGCTATGGTAGACACTGATGGATCAGGTTATAAATTTTTTGCCCATAACAGCTAGTCTGAAATGTTAGCCATCTCCATCCCCTAATCCATCTCTTTCCTCCTGTGCAACCCACAAGTAAGGGAGTTGAAAAGGCTGGTATTTCAGATTAATAGCAGCAAGTAATGGCTATATTTCAAATAGACAGATATAGGTCTGCCTAATTATAATTCTGGGTTGATATCATAGATAACTGTTTGTAACAGGACAAGAGTGGATTGTATGAATGCCTAAATACAATTTGCAGAAAAGAAAAAAATCAAGGAAAAATGATGCAGCTACCACTTATATTTTACGGTGAGTTAACAATCTGAAAAACTCAACATCACTACTGACTGTCTGTCTAAAATTGCTACATTGACCAAAGCATAGGTTGTAATGGCTAGTGAAGATTGGATTCTGCTGGCACCTACTGGCGGGTGTACCTGCATGAGTAAAATGTATGAAATCTTGTCTCATATAAAACAAGTTAACAAGTAGCTGAACTACTAGGTTCACCATTCATAAGAGCCACTGTGTCTGCAACTCGGCTCAAAAGAGCAGCGACAGCATCCTTGTCCTCCTTTGCCCAAACTATATCAGCGAGATACTTCTCAACTGTTCCCTCTGCTTCTTTGGGCTCTAATGATGCATCTGGCTCTACGGGCATGTGTACGGTGAAGATAATAGCAACATGTTTATTTGGTGCATTCTGATCATCGCAATATGAGTAGAACAACAGAGGTGATGGAGGCGGAAGGAGCTCCAGGTGATGGACAAGTGCTGCTCTGTGGCCCTCCTTAAACCTTCTTTTTAGTAAATCATCCATCTTTTTCTTGGTATCTTCACCAGGGTAACTCCTTTCTTCTCTTCCATCAATCGTTGCTAACATTCTCTTGTATTCTGGATCTAACCCCTCTGCAAGCTTCTTGGCAAAGCAGTCCACAGTGCTGTGAGCAGCTGGGGGTGCAGCTAGTAACAATACAAGTGGCTGAGACGGACTGGGATTATTGAGATGTGCCAAGCCACGGTTCTTTAGGATCCTCCAAAACCGGTCAGTTTGGTTAGTGAAAGAAGATTGAAGTTCTTTTATCTTATTTTCAAAGATTATAGGAAGGACAAAAGGTTTTCTTTCGGGCTTTTCATCAGGGGCAATTAAGATAGCCAAGATAACTAACAAAAATGCAACAACTAAGAGGATACCAGCCAACCTCATGGGGCTAGTAGGTTCTTTGTCGGGCTGTTTCGTGATCTCAGTTGGTTCATCGGATGGTTCATCAGGGTGGTTTGTGATCTCGGGTGGTCCTGTTCCTCCTCCATGCTCTGCAGCTCTGTCCCTTGGAATTGAATTTGATGGGATCTCATGGTGCTCTCTCCTTGTATTAAGTCCATTCTCGTCTGTATGGCCCGCGTCTTCATCCGCTAGGTTATCTTTTTCAACAGGCTTCGCGGAGGGAAAATTATCTGTTGCATCAGCAACATTTTCTATCTTCACATTTTCATCTCCAGGCGGGACGTTAACTTCCCAAACGTTCTCCTTAACAGACGTTACCTTTTTCGGAATATTCTTTTCCTTTTTAGGTGCCATTTAGCCGATGTTTTCCAAAATCAGCTCCATCAATTTTTTTCTTAGAAAAGCAAAAACAAGAGACCTGCAACAAATAACGCGCGTTTTCCCGGAAGCTTCCGCTTGGTAACCACTCTTTACCCTCCATTTTCTAAAGGTTTATTTGATTGGTCAAAGGAATTACCACGACTAATAAAAATGTTTGTTATAAAGTCCCTTGAAAAAAGTTGCGGCGATTCGTTGCTTCAATATGGCGAAGAGTGGGGTATTTTTGCTATTTATCGTGCTGTGTTTTACTCCAGTTCGAAAGGCATTCATCATCGAAAGTTGCGTCGGGACTGCTCTGTTTGGATCTTTAGCTTATGTGGCGCCAAAAGTTTGGTGTCGTTTTAAAGAATGTTGCACAGATAGATGGATCTCGGCGAACATCACAGGTCTGCAATCAGCTTTACGCCGGCGCGTGTTTGGACAGCATTTAGTCACCGAGACAGTGTTAAAGGCAATAGTTGGACATCTGAATAATAAATCACCGAACAAAGCCTTGGCGCTCTCTTTTAACGGCTGGACCGGATCTGGGAAAAACTTTGCTAGCAAGATCATTGCTGAGCATATTTTTAGGGAGGGGATGGAAAGTAAATTTGTCCATCAAATCATTGCCACCCATGACTTCCCACACCAGTCGGAATTGGACCGTTATAAACGATATCTGCGTAGTTTGGTTTCTAGTTCAGTGTCACAGTGCTCAAGATCGTTGTTCATTTTTGACGAAATGGATAAAATGCCGATCGGTCTCATAGATGTACTAAAGCCCTACTTAGACCACTACCCTGATGTTGGCAAAGTTGACTTCCGAAGAAGTATTTTCATATTTTTGAGCAATACGGGAGGACATCTGATCAATGACGCAGTCCTCCGACACTGGAAAGAGGGAAAGAAGAGAGAAGAAATTGGTATTAAAGAGATGGACAAGGTTGTTAATCTTGGCGAGTTTAATACTAAAGGTGGTTTTTGGCATTCATCGCTCATTGAGAAAAATCTTATAGATTATTTTATCCCATTTTTACCTTTGGAGAGATCTCATGTTAAAATGTGTGCTAAAGTGGACTTGGAAAAGAAAGGACATCCGGTTACTGAACAAGTCCTCAACAGCATTGCAGATGAGTTATTATACTTCCCAGAAGACTTAAAGGTCTTTTCACAGTCTGGTTGTAAGAAAGTATCGAGCAAAGTTGACTATATCATGAATTAGATTAAATGGTGGTGTGGTTTACTTATAGCAATAAACAATTTTTCTGAATAGAGTAACCCAGGCTTTTTAAAAGACATTGAACATTGGGCGTCTAACTATACTAAGAAAATTTTGTATTAATTTTTTTATAAAAGGAAGCATGCTCTGGTAGCCTGCAAATGCAGATCTGTTTCTGGTCGGCGCTTCTCTCCAACTGAAAAGTAAACTGTAATGGGTGGAGAGAACTGCGATGACTGAAAATAAATGTATGTCTGCATTGGGTTATTCCGGAAAAAATCCACACCCCCATGATGGAAGGCACGTTTTTTTTCACCCCCCTTCCACCTTGAATTGTGAAAATGCATGAGCCCCCCCCTCTCCTCAGGATTTCCAAGTTCAAAGACCCCCCACCCATCTGGATTTCCATAAAAATTGTTAGATACTGAAATTTTAATTTAATACACGATGTTTAAGATTCTATTAGGAATTTAGATGATCTAGCTTTTATTAAATAAGCCTCAATTCTCCTTGATTTCTGCATTTGTTGTGAAAGTTAAGATAATTTATATTTTCACATAAAAGGCTTATACATTTTGCAAATAAACTCACATTTGAGTGAACTTCCCTTTTTTCCTAGACCACACAAAATATACTACAATACAGCTCAAAACTAACTATCCTGAACTATGTACTTGAAAAAAAGTTTCTCTTCTTTGTTAAGAAACAAGAATCACCGAAAGGGGATTTTGACTGGGCTGCCAAGGGGCGATTTTTTCTGAGAGGCCAAGGGGAGAGGGCGGCTAGATGCACTCATTGTACCCTTTTGGAAGACTTTCGTAACAAGAAAAATGAGTACAATCTAGATTTCCAGAGCTGTTGACCCCCTCTCCTGTGAGATTTTCCAGCATGCCTTCTGTTGTTGGGGTGATTTTTTCTGGAATAACCCGTTCACAGGCTAATCCACTGGATGCAATGACTGTATCTACTACAGAAAAGAGCAGTCCGGACGATCTCTAAGGCTGTCTACAAGGCTTCAAGTAAAACCTCTTTTTGCAAATTTGAAAATTCTTGATGTCTTTAGTATCTACTCGCTCCAAGTAAGTTCTTTCATGTACCTATATCTTGATGATGCTTTACCTATTGCTTTTAATCAAATCTTTCAAACTGGAAATCAGATTCATCAATATTCAACAAGATACTCTGACTTTTACCAACCTCATACCTGTAGAACAAATATCAAAAAATTTTCAATCCTGTTTCAAGGTCCTAGAATATGGAATTCATTACCGAGCAACATCAAAAACGCCCCGACTTTTAAAATATTCAAGTGTGTGATCAAACCATTTTTAAAGGTCAGACAAGATACAACCTAAATACCTTAACACTTTATATCTATATTTTTCTCTAAGCACACTTATATATTACTTAAAATACACGTCTTTTTCTTTATTTTTAAATGCCGCCTAGTATTTAAATTGCCCGTAGGGGGAAATCTCTATTCCTCATAAGCTTTGCTTCTCGGAGATTTCCCCACCACAGTCACTCCTTCCAAGTTGTATGCTCATTTCAAGTTTAATATTAATAATTTAACTATTTATTATCTTTTCTATTCTACTTGTAATTTATTCTGTGTGGCAAAATAATAAAAATAAAATAAAAAATAATGCCTGGACACCTTTTTGGCTAAAACCTTCAATTATCTTGAACAATAAATAATTAATGTCAAGAAAAGTGGACATTGCTAAGTTTAGTTTCATCAGAAGTTTCAAGATAAAGCACTGGCAATACCTTCCCTTCCCTCTTCCGTTCTCCAAAAAACAAAATATGCTGAAGTCCAACTGGATATTTTCAGCTCTTGACCAGGGTGGGGAAAGGGGGTCATTGCATAGGATTCATTGTCCGCTGTATGAGGGTTCTGTGGTTGAAGAGGAAAATCTTTATGACTTTTTGCTTGACCTTGTTGGAAAAGGAACTTAGGGCCTTGAATCTCAGCGACAGGATTGATGTAATTATTTTATTTCAGGTGTTACACTAAGGACACTGACAATTGCATTAGCCAGGCTGCTCAGTAGAGGAGTTGTCAGTGAGCACATAAGCCTGTTTCTTAGGTCAAGGTAACTTTTGTAAGCCACAAAACTAGGAAGATACCTCTAGCTGTCTGATCTTTTTTTATACGTAGTATAACGGTTTTGTGTACACTGAAGAAGGGTTGTACGTCCAAAAGGTTTTTTCAAAGACGAATGACACTTTTTGATTTTTTTTTGTGTTTACCGGAGCCCCATTGCTAAGATAAATTGGTAACCTATGAAAGCGAGAAAATTTGGTTATGACGTAGCGTACGCCCGTCCGTACACAATTCATGTAAGCGGATGCCAGATGTCAGGTTATTTTGGCGGGAAAGCGTATGGCTACCCGCTTATTGTGAAGCAGAGACAACTAAAGAGTCAGGGACTTGTCAGAAATTAGCAGGGCGGAGGGGGGTGGAAACAGAGGGAGGGTCCCAACTTTTTGAGATTCAGAAAAGGGAGGGGTCATGAAAAATGGGTCGTTAAAAGGGGGAGGGTCATGCAAATATATGCCTGTGATCATGTAGAGGCTCACCCACAGAAGATTAAGGAAGTTCCTTATTTGGTAAAAAAAAGGGAAAAAAAGAACAACAAAACATTACGGATATAAACTGTGAAGTACTATTGCAAGAATTTAACAAACATCTACTTTTCATTTATAACAATGCTATAGAGTCTTATTGAAAGTATGAATAATGTTGTTATTAATGTTTAGTTAAGGTAAAAAAAGCCACTGCAAAAACCGTGTACGATCAATCTTGCTCAACATCGGATCCAAAAAGATCGTGTTCAGTCAAAATAGATCTAATTGAAAACGTTACAGTCAAGAAGACTTAATGTTATCAGAGTTTTGGCTATCCTATTCATCACTGTCTTCAGCATCACCATCAATGCTGCTGTGAGCATCTTGATCATCATCATTTTTGTCATCAGCATTGATACAATCACTTTCATCATCATCATGATTTCCATTTAAGTTAAAGCGTAGATATTGCTTGATAATGTCCTGTGATTCATTGCTGAACGATACCTTCTCAAAGGCATATTGGATATATGACCTTGGTGTTTTAAGGAGCCGACTTAAACTTCATAATGAAGAGATAACGGGCCAATAGGCTCTCTAACATCATGCTACTCTTGCTGAGGTGCAATGGTTTCAATAACCCTTTTGTAGTAAGCTTCCATTCTTGTTGCACCAGCTTTCTTTGCTTTCCTTTTATTTTGTTTTTGTTTCCTTTTTTTACTTGTTGCCTTGGAATGCTGCACTTTAAAGAGCCTGGAACATTTTTCTTTCAATTCTGTAACATGGGGAGGGTCAAGAGCCAAGCTCAAGGGGAGGGTTAGCAAATTTCACTCCCATTGCAGGGATGGGTCACCTCATTTCCGAGCCCCAATTTAAAATTTCCCCCCTCTACCCTGCTAATTCCTGACAAGTCCCTAGCACAAACTGAACCGTAGAAGCTGTCAGGCTATAGACTCATCACCGGAAACCTTAAACTAACAAGTTGTTTGTCATTCCACAACAGTGCGCGCAATGAACTCCCGATGACCTAGATGATTTGCTGAGATTGGGTGTGGATGTAATCAAAACATCAATGCAGAAAGGACTAACCCTTGTTCGACGACTTGTAGGTTCTTTTATTCGAAGATCTAATTCATTGAACCGAAGAAATTCTTTAAATCTTTGTGTTTGTCTGAGCGTACCATTCTGGTAATCACAATTTACTGCATGATCACCGACAATAATTATTTCCAGATTATCCCGAGTTGCAACACATAGAAGCACATCATCTAGAAGCACATCTAGATAG